AGAAGCCATATAGGAACTCTTGTACTGTTCAACTTTTCTATAAACTAAAATTCTTTCATAATAAGATGCTAATTAAAAAGATATGCAGCAGATATACTTAAAAAAGTCTCTTCTGATATAATGTTTTCAGGGGAAGATGCCTTTTAGTTTATAAATTATTTCCATAATTTGTGACAGTTCTCACATCTGCTGCTATGTAATTCATTGCAAGCTCTCTGCCTCTTGGGGAGAAAAGGCATTTAATTATCAGTGAAATTCAACTTCAGCTTGTTATGATGAATGATTTGAACCTGTCATCTTCAACTCCCCCCAAAAAACAAAAGAACTGAAATGAACTACAGTCTTATTGGACTCCCTCCTTCCTTCCACCTGCTTCATTTAATTGATGAAGGTTTGAGCTTTTATTAATCTTTTTGAGCTCTTTTGTAAGATGCAGAAAAAGCTAATATGATATCATTGTATCTTGCTAATGTGTGTGCTTTGTGAAATTGATACACCCTGCCAAGACATAAATTACTTAAGCTTTGATAAATGTGTTGAAATCATGGAATGTTCAAACAGATAAAGCACAGCAATCCCTCTTTCTTTCCCTTCTTAAAACTCCATTTTGTGCTTGAGGCTAAATGTTTTTGTATTATCATTGTAATAAGATGCGACAAATAACAGCAGTGATACTGAAGTTAGCACAAAGAGCCCCATGGAATTCAAAAGCAAGTAACAGGATACATCCATGTGTTTGTAGATAGCATCTAAGAATCTTGTCTTGGACAGAGAGGTTTCCCAAAAGGTTCAGAACCACCTACAATCTTCTGTCTGCTTGGGAATGAGGGTGCCTGCTAGATGTTTTATAAGTTCAGATCCCTTTGCTGAGCCATTTGAAAAGTTGGATCAGCAATTTTGTTAGCAAACAGAGATCAGCTGGACTCATGATCTGAATGTGACTCAGCTGCCAGTGCGACTGGACACATTGAAGAAGTCATGGATGCCCTGGGATTGGGAAGGTTGATTCCTACTTGGTAGTTAATTTATCACATGGTATGGAACAAGTTACCCAACTAAACATTAATCAATGTAAGCTTGAGAATTCATATAACCCTTTAGAAACATTTCTTGAGTAGGAGACCTGAGCTGCCCGTTGGACCATGGAAAAGTAATCAATCATTGGTACCTTTTGTCAAGGATTAGGCTCCAACTATTCTTTTATTTAGTCCTTACATACAGCCAACAAAGGAGACATGGAAAATTAGGATTCAGGTCATGAAATTATGCAAGGGGTGATGATGTCATCAGGTACCCAATACTGTCTTTTGTTCTGCCATTCTGTTGACACTTAGTGGCCTCCATTTTCTCTGTCTTTTGAGGTTAAACATGAGCCTTGGAAACTTTTGGTAACTGTGTAAAATAATGAGGAGATGAATTTGTGTACAACTTTTCTCAATTTGAGTAACAATGTCAAAGGAAGTTAGAAATGTGATGGTCTAGGGAAAGCAAAACTAATTCAGTACATGCACACATACACATATATGTATACTTTTACACATGCGTATATACATATAACTAAGTAGTTTTATCTAAGGAACTTTGAATGAGTGTTTTTGCTAGAAAGAAGTGTTACAGATCTGGACTATTGGTTAAATATTTTTGTATAATCATCTTTAAAATAACAGGCCCCTTCAGGAGATTGGGAACTGAAGAATTGTGAATTAAATTTCTTAGAAATCACTTTTTATGGGAAATCTTTTCTGAAAAGTTAAAGAATCTTTCTAAAAACATATAATTACACCCAGTCTTCCTATTTGATTAGCTGGTGTTGATTTGATTTATACACACATATTTCTTAATTGAGTCACATGTGTTAGGATGAAGTTCTGTTTAGATTATGACTTATTCCAGGAAAATCTAAAAGAGTTTCAGCTAATGGTCATTTAGTATTATTATTAAAGAATCTTAGAAACATTATAATGGAAGTCCTAGAAATAAGGATCTCCTAAGATGTTGATTTTTTTATCATATTGTCTGAAATGTATCGAAACCACCTAGTGAAGAATCTGTGTGATTACAAAACCTACTTGTGTTTGAATGATGATCTCAATATTTATACATTTTAATAACAGAAGAGTAAATTGAGCAAAGCACTGAATCAAAAGAAATAATGCCAGGAGAAAAATTTGGTAAAAATATGTAACATAGGACAAACACTTAGATATAGAAAGAATAGAAAAAGCAGACTGATGTTGAAAGCCAAGAATGTTTTCATATTTGTGGTTGAAAAAAAACTTTTTTGAATAGAAAATATTTATCTATTTATCTATTAAATATTTATCTATTAATTAATGTTAATTAGTAGAAATCTATGAAGAAAAGAAATTATGGTGTTTTAAGCATGTTATCAAGGAAGAATGAAAGAGAAAAAAAGCAAGCCTGAGGAAAGTTTTGAGGCTATACTAAACCAAGGACTAAAGATCAGCAAAGAAGCATTTGTTAAGGACAGAAGTTCCCAACAAGTGGTAGGCTAATCTGTCACCACTTCCCAGGCAGGAAAACTTCATGAAATATTGGAGATAGTGAAAACTAGGTAACAGACTCTGGGTAATAAGAATGATGCTCACAGGAAAGAGAAATTGGAACATGATGACCAGCAAAGAGTGTCTTATCTGTTCAGGGAACCTTGTCCTTTCTCTGGAGAAAAGACAGGACACATCACTTGTACCAGCTCACATCAGTTCTCAGCAAAACTCAGACCTGAAGCCAGACTACTGAACTGCATGAGCTGTGAAGCACTTGGTTTCTGCATATCACAGTAAGAGTGTTCAGTGGTGATTTTAGTGCCTTCACAAATGCAGTCTCTATTTAAAGACAGTGAATGAGCTGATTCATATGTATATAACTTTAATTTTCATTGTTTCACTTATGTTGTATTGCTATGTTTTATTCATCACTGAATTCTTTCATTTATTATGATAACATGGATGAGGTGATATAAGACTTTGTGAGCTAATATTTAAATAAAACAGTCGGGGGAAATATTCAAAAGCAGAAAGCTACAGTTACAGTATTACACGTACTTTGAAAACCAAATTCAGGGTAATGATCTTTATTTCCCTGGTAATTATGCCATCCTGACAATACCTGGGGGAAGAAGGAAGTATCAAATGCAAGTTTTGTAAGCCCTAAGAGGAGGTCAGATGGATTTGACCTTAAAATGTAAAATGATATCAATATGTTTTCCAACATCTGTAATTTTAGTGATAATAAGCAAGCTTTAAAACACACACACACACGCGCACACACGTGCGCGTGCGCGCACACACACACACACACACACACACCTCTTACAAGTCCTTGGATTCCTACTCTGCAGTGATCCTGATCTAAGTGATGATACTTTTCAAAATATTCTGTTAAAACTTAAGTTTACAAACATTATTTGTAGTCCTAGCAATTGACCTCAGGGCTTCACACTTGCCAAGCAAGTGCTCTATTGTTTGAGCTATGTTTCTTGTCTTTTTGCTTTCTTTTTCAGATAGGGTCTCACACTTTTGGCTAGGTGGCCTGGGATTACAATCTTCCCAAGTAACCAGATTATAGATGTGAACTGCTAATCCCAGGTTAAACTTCTAAACTTTTGTGACTATGCCAAATGGCTCCTCACATTATCAAGGTATACTGTATATTCATGTGCAATATTTATAATCCAAGCTATGTTTATGATTGGATTGAATGCAATAATATCTAAAATGATCTAAATCTGACATCAGTTTTACCCAGTGTTTTGGAGAATCTGAGACTGGAGAAGCAGTCCATAAACACAGCCTCATGCTTTTCATCATGCTGACAGTTCTCCACAGAATCATTACAAGAGTGGTTTGTGCCATTAGCGATAAGAAGCTGTTCATGTTTCCACTAGAAACCTGTACTTCTCAGACTTTATAACTCATTCATAAATATTTGCTCCAGGCAACAGTTTTCAGATTCCATATTGACTTAACTGAATGGAGAAATCATGAGGACACTTACTACAAAGAGAGTAAAAATGAAAATACAGTGGCGTTTAGTGCCTATAATCTATAGCCAAATAACCTAAGTTAGTAAAACATGTACACATAAGTTGTGCATTATTTCCATACTTGAGTTTTATTGTAGTCAAATTTATTAAATCATATGCAGTTTACTAATTTATAATTTCCACATGTATTTCTGTTTCCAGAAGAGTAACATAGTGTGCTATTCCCACAAATGAGCCTTTTGTAGAATTTTAATACTAACCACATGCTTTTTGTTAGTTGGGATTGTTAGTTGGGATTTTGTTAGTTGCATTGGGATTATATTTTTTAAAAGCCATAAAATTATGTCTTAAACTCTTGAATATACTGATAACACTAATAATTCCAAATACACTTAAGAGATGTATTATTTATTACTTATGATTCAGGTGGTTTATAATTCATTGGTATGATTCAGCATCTAAAATTCTCTTCCACCTGAATGTGAAGACCTCAAAACTTCCATGAGTTTATAACATAAGTGGCCAAAATATCCTACTCAAGTCTGGGTGAGAATGTTGAAAGAGGTGACATTGATCAAGGTATATTGTATTCATAAAGCTGCTTCACTAAATAGAAACTCCTTTGTACAGCTACTTTAAGATAATAATAAAAAATGATTAAAAATAAATTTGGAAAAAGACAAGAGGAAGATTAGGGAACGGAGGCCACACTAATACATGCAAATGAAAGACCTTCTTATTCTCACCATTTTAATTGTTATACTTTCAGTTTTACATCACTCACATTAAATACTCATCTCTTTGTACAGCTGAGCCCAACTGAGTGAGTGTGTGTTTATCATGTGCATGTGAGAAAGCAAAAAAGGGAGCGAAGAAAGGAGAGAGGGAGAAAGGGATTTAGCAAGAACATAAATAATACTGTTTCCCTTCTGTTTCTGTGTGCATGCTCAAAGCATATCCTGAAGATTATTTCTCTTTCTTCTCTTTCCCTCAGCTGTTTTGTGATAGTAAAGAGGTGGTGCCCGCCACAGAGGGTCTGGATTGGGAGGATAAAGATGCTGCAGGAACGCTGGTTGGAAACGTGGTTCATTCGAGGATCATCAGTCCCCTGCGTCTGTTCGTTAAACAGTCTCCAGTGCCCAAGCCTGGCCCCCTGGCCTATGCAGACAGCATGGACAACTTTTGGGATTGGCTGGCCAACATCACAGAGGTCCAGGAGCCATTGACAAGAACTAAACGTCGGCCAATAGTAAAGACAGGAAAATTTAAGAAAATGTTTGGATGGGGTGACTTTCATTCCAACATTAAAACTGTCAAACTCAACCTCCTCATCACGGGGAAGATTGTCGACCATGGAAATGGAACTTTCAGTGTTTATTTCCGGCATAATTCCACAGGCTTGGGTAACGTTTCAGTGAGCTTGGTCCCTCCCTCTAAAGTGGTGGAGTTTGAAGTTTCCCCCCAGTCAACCTTGGAGACCAAGGAATCCAAATCTTTCAATTGTCGTATTGAGTATGAAAAAACAGATCGGGCGAAGAAGACCGCCCTGTGCAACTTTGACCCATCCAAGATCTGCTACCAGGAGCAGACTCAGAGCCATGTGTCTTGGTTATGCTCCAAGCCCTTCAAGGTCATTTGCATTTACATTGCCTTTTACAGTGTTGATTATAAACTTGTGCAAAAGGTTTGTCCTGACTACAATTACCATAGTGAGACCCCATACTTATCTTCTGGATGAACCTTCTCACAGTGATAGAAATGACGAACGTGTGTATATTTAATTAGAATGACCAAGAAAGAAAGCCCAGCTTTCCATAGTAAAGGATTCCTTTTGTTTCTGGCAGTGAACCGCAACTCCCTATCTGGTTTTCAAGTTAAAAGAAAAAAAAAGAAACATATTCCTATGTGAAATGTGTTTGTTTTCAATCATAAGTATCTTTAAGAAATCAAACTGCTTACCAAGCCGTCACTTTCTTGTAAGATGACTAAATTTTAGAAATATTGTTGTTTCTCTTAAAGAACATCAGTGGCAGCCATGTATAAGAAGAAAGAACTAAATTATGCATGTAATCAGCATTGCTCTCAAAACGGGTCTGCCTGGAACTATGTTTGGAAGGTTACCATTTAAAACAGAATATTCAGTAAAGTAACTGGAAAGATAACATTTGATAGATGAATTGTGTTTCTGACATTAGATCCTTTTGTTTTTATAGTACTATCTCTTTCTTCACATTGATGCCAGTATTGGTATAAGAGAAGATACAGTGATAGGGTAAAATGTGTTGCCAAACTCCTCTGTGAAGTTGCAGTGCTGTAGTGGGGCCCAGTGCACTATTCTCTGAGCTAGAGTAGAGTGGAGTGTGTTTTAAGCTCTTTTAACTTGTATTGGCCACCCCCATCATGATTCTCATGGGGTTAGTAATACTGGTGCATTGGGAAAGAAAATCTTGGTGTAAGTCTTAAGGAAGATCATATTTTTAGAACTGACCAAACTTGATGTTGTGACATTAACAGAAATCACATAAAATTCTCATTCACCATAGAGTTCAGGATTTCATTCTATTAATTTAATAGTGTGATTTTATATACATACACTTGTATGTATATATATACATATATACTTGTTCTATGTGTATGTATATAAAATCACACAGAATAAGTCTGGAATTGAGATTAAGTCATTTCTTTTCTAGGCAAAATTGTGAATAAAAAGGTGCAAGAGAGATTGGAAATTTCAATGAAGAAATGGTGGAATAGAGGCTTGGGAATATCAGGGCTCTGGATTCATTACCTCTGTATTGCCAAATTAGGTTCTTTTTGAATTTTGTTAATCATTAGGATGAAGAGTAAAACTCTCCATGCCATATGGAAATAATATTACATTTGAATATATCTCATTATTAATACGGATAAGCAAGGTCTTGACTTACTAGGTCCTTAAAATTGCTTTGAATTAATGTACCTTCACATTGCCCTACTAGTCTTCAGTGATGGGTGAGGGATGAGCATGTAGTGCAGAACTAGATAGTCACTGAATTAGCACAGAAGGTTGTCTGGGGAGGGGGGCGGGGAATCTAGAACTCAAGTCTCAAAGAATGGTTATTACCCTTGTAACAGTGGAAGTTAACTTCATCTTCCCCTTCCTTTTTTGTAAAATATTAATGAAAGTAAAACCTTCAATTGAAGAATAAGCAAAGTATGTCTTAATAAACAAAGGCAACTCTTATCAGAAACCAACAGCTACATTCCCCATTTGGCATCTCCATTCCTTTCCTTTTACTAGTGATATCTTCAAAGTGTTCAATTTTGTCTTTTGTAAAAGTTGTACTAGGCTTAGTGTGTGGTCGTACAGGCTTGAAGTTTCTGCTCTGACTTCATCAGGTGCTTCTGTAATTCTGTGGTTGGTGAGTAATATTTTGAGACATCTTTTTATGTTTATCTAGAAACAGGAGTAAATTAGTATTATTTATTGTAAAGTACGTGGGAACCATGTATGTATATATACTTAGAATTTTCTGTGTACAGAAAAGGTATGTGTACACATTTCTATGTAAATAAAAATAATTTGCTAGATCTGTCACATGTATTCCAGGGTTGTTATTTTTTAAGATTTTTTTTGTTCTTGTTCTTGTTTCATTTTGCAACAAGAATTGTGTGTGTATCTGTGTGTTTTGAATAATAATTATTAAACATTGAAGTTTTCCTTATGCACCTATTAAGCTATGTAGCTTTGCTATGGAAATTACAGAGTAAAAGATAATTTACATCACACATGTTGTATATGCCCTGACATCCTGGAAGAGCACTATAAATGTGATCTACCATTATAATTATTATGGAAATATGGAATGAGCTCTAAAAATGATGTTCAAAAGTTGGGAGATATAAATATTATTTTCTTGCAAAGAAAAAAATCCTGTAAATCAATTTATACAATTCTTAGATTTCATCCAGTTTATGGATTTTTTTAAAAGTTTCCCACAGGCATATTTAAATTGGAATGGAACATATGCCTCCTATATTTCTATCATAATTTCACTTCAAAGCATACATAATTGTCGGTGATGATACTTGGCACAGTATAAATCAGACTCCATTTAAGCATGCACATTCACATGGTTCTGTACAACCATTTTTGCCTTTTAGTTCTGTAATTGAGGAAAAGGGCATTCACACAGGCTAATTTGGCACCCAAGAACAAACTGCTTAAGAATATAAAAAAATTCTTAAAATATAAAATTAAACTAGTAGATTCAATAACAAAATAAAAAAAAGTGGTTAGCTCAATTCTAGGAAAGGAAAGTCATTTCAAAGAGTATATCCTACCCTTGTTGTGTGAACTGGCTCATTTGAAAGACAACTTTGTCCAATCTCCTGGAAAGTGAATATTACCTTAATGGCAAATCCAGTTGAAATGCATTTCTCCTGAATCCTGGTCCCAGGTCTTGGAGTATGAAGAAAGGTACCTTGAATTGGAAATACAAGATAGTAAAACTAATCAGTGTTTGCAAAAGACATGATCTAGAAATCAAAACTAAACATGAAAATGGTTTAACATATTCTTTCTCTAAAAGCATCAAGATTGTAATTTTTCTATTTCCTATTCCATTCTTATTTTTTTTGATCAGTTGTGGGGCCTGAATTTTTGGTCTTGGTGCTGTCCCTCAGCTCTTCAGCTCAAGGCTAGCACTCTATCACTTGAGCCATAATGCCACTTATGGCTTTTCTGTTTATGTGGTGCTGAGGAATGGAACCCAGGTCCTCATGCATGCGAGGCAAGCACTCTACCACTGAGCCACCTTCCCAGCCCAATTCCATGCATTTTTATTTGTAGTAAAACTATAGTCAGCCCAAAGTTAATGAATCAAACTTTCAATGAATGGAAATATACTATGACTAATTGTAAGAGATAAATCACAAGAAATAGAGCTTTTATTAGACATATTTTTCCACTTTAAAAATTTTTGTAGGAGGTAATCAAGGATCACTTCATATTCACTCTAATATCCTATTCCATATTGAGGCCTAGAAATAAAAAATATAATTTAATTTTCATCTTAATTTTGCCTTGTATTCAGCTCAGGTTCACTCATAAATAATATGTAATCTATTCTCTAAAAGAGTGAGCTAGGGGTTGGAGAATTAACTCAGTGGAAGAGAACTTGCCTCACAAGTGCAAGGTCCTGAGTTTGATCCTTAGCTCTTAAAAAAAAAAAAAAACAGGTAACTTCTTTTGTCCTCCAGAGTGCCTTGTAATAGGGATGTAGCCAGGATTCTCCAGAGGAACAGATCCAATAAATTATGTTAAGATTTATAGCCATATTTAACTCATGCAATTATGGAAGATGAAAACTCCCATGATATTCCACTGTAAGCTGAAGGACCTGAAGAGCAGGTGATATAATTAAGACTAAGCCAAAAGAAAGAACTAAGAGCTTCAATATCAAGGGCAAAAGAAGATAGAGATCGCCGGGTGCTGGTGGCTCACGCCTGTAATCCTAGCTACTCAGGAGGCTGAGATCTGAGGATCGTGGTTCAAAGCCAGCCCGGGCAGGAAAGACCTTGAGACTCCTATCTCCAATAAACCACCAGAAAACCGGAAGTGGTGCTGTAGCTCAAGTGGTAGAGTGCTCGCCTTGAGCTGAAGAGCTAAGGGCCAGCACTCCGTCCCAGAGTTCAAGCCCCACGACCGACAAAAAAAAAAAAAGAAGATAGAGATCCCACTTCAAAAAGTACAAGAGAGCAAATCTGCCTTTCCTCTACCTTTCTAATCTACTCAGCTCCTAAATAGGTTAGATAATATCCATTCATATTGGTGAGAGTGGATATTTAATCTACTGATGTTAATGCAAATGTTTTCCTGAAATAGTCTTACTAGTATACATAGTAATTTACTAGCTATCAGAAAATTTCTTAAGCTAGTCAAGTTGATAGAGGTACTTGATCAATTTCAGTTGCCTGATTTGATACACACATAGCATGAGAGTTACTTTGAACTGTTTCCAGTATGAAGACCTTGTTCCAGCTGAAGACAATTCTCACTGAATATTACCTCCAGAAACCACAGAGACTTAAAGGGTAGCAATACTTTTAGAAATCACCTAGAATAAATTTTGTTTATCAGGTAAAGAGATGGAAACCTGATGGAGATTAACAATCTGGTTATCTTTATTGTTCTACCTGGATAAAGCCATTCTGTCTCATTATTCCTTCAAATCTTTGATATTTTGTGTCTATAATAGACTCCCAGCTGATTACCAAAATATATTCTAATTCTTCCATTGCAATGGAAAGTTTGTGTATTGGCTGGTCAATACATTGCCTCACAAATAGTGATGTATGATCTGTTGCTAAACTTGAACTTAATGGAGTGTGAGAAGAAAGGACATATATACTCCTGGGAGCAGGCTCACATACAAGTATTGTTCTAGGTTCTTTCCTCTCAGCTGACTTGGGAAGATACCTTAAGGATAGATTGAAAGACAACCACTAGTCTCAGTGGTTCTCTTATTATAGAAGTGGGTTACTTAATCCCCAAACCCACCCATGTCTGCTATTTGAGAAATTAACAAATGCATAGTTCCATCAAGTAACTGAACTTTTAGGATAGGTTTATTATTGCAACTTCACATGAAATAACTAGTGTAAACATTGCATAAAATCCTTTGTATACTCTAAATAAGTGTGACCTTTTTCTTTTTTAACATTATTTATTTCAGCTTATGGCAGATACCATAAAATGTACATGTAGATTGTACACATGGACGAT